GAACAAGGGTGCATCTCGCTGTTAGTTCTACTCAATCTTAGTGCGGCATTTGACACCATTGACCACAATATTAATTAATATTATTAATATTAATGGACAACCTTCACAAGTCAGCCCAGTAAAGTATGGGGTGCCTCAAGGATTAGTTTTAGGCCCTTTGCTGTTTACAATTTACATGCTACCACTGGGAGACATTATTAGAAGACATGGGATCAGCTTTCACTGCTATGCAGATGATACTCAATTATATATTTCAACTAAACCTGATGAGATGTCTGAACTGTCTAAGCTAACTGAGTGTATTAGAGATGTAAAAGACTGGATGACCAACAATTTTCTTCTCTTAAACTCCGACAAAACAGAATTATTACTTATTGGGCCAAAATCCTGTACACAAAAGATCTCGCAACTCAATCTACAATTAGAGGGATATAAAGTTAGCGTCAGCGCTACTATAAAAGATCTGGGTGTCACATTAGACAGCAATTTAACTTTTGAAAATCATATATTCCACGTCACAAAAACTAATTTCTTTCATCTGAGAAATTTCGCTAAGTTACGAAGTATGCTATCCATCTCATCCAGCTGCCAGAGTTCTTACCAGGTGTAAAAAATATCACATCACCCCAATTTTATCCTCCTTACACTGGCTGCCTCTTGAGTTTCGTATTGAATTTAAAATATTACTTCTCACCTATAAAGCTTTAAATAATCTAGCTCCTGTTTATCTAACCAACATCAGTACAATCCAGCCCGCTCTTTAATATCTCAAAACTCAGGGCTTCTGGTAGTACCTTGAATGGCAAAGTCGAGTAAAGGAGGTCGAGCCTTCTCATTTATGGCTCCTAAACTCTAGAATAGCCTTCCTGATAACGTCCGAGGCTCAGACACACTCTCGCAGTTCAAAACTAGATTAAAGACCTGTCTGTTTAGTAAAGCATACACTCAGCGCATCACTTAGCGGGTTCCCACACAGGTTTCTGCATCCTGTTTATATACACTATGAACAGCAGCTACGCTAGTTATTCTCTTTATTCTCCATTTTTACCTAGGTATACATCCCGAGGCCCTCAGACAATGCAGCTGCACTGATTTGATCCAAGACCAGCGACGAGATGATCCCAAGGCTTCCATATCCTAGATCAGGCTGTATCCTGAGCAGCTGCTGTGGTGGTCATGGAGGAGTGGAGAGCATGAGACTGATTCCTGTGACGCTCCAGGGACAGACGAGTCTTCGCCAAGGCCAGCTTCCAGCCTCCGCTGCTGAGACTGCAGCCCTGCACAAGATGTTTGGCCAGCAGAGAAATTAAAATGGTCTTGCCCAACTGAGTCTGGTTTCTCTCAAGGTTTTTTTTCTTCACTCTCCTATCGGTGAAGTTTTTTTCCCTCTCTGCTGTCACCTCTAGCTTGCATGGTTTGGGATCGGTAGAGCTGCGCATCGATGAATTTGCTCTTTAGTGTTTTGACTCTCAGTAGTTAACATTAAACCACACTGAACTGAGCTAAACTGAACTGAACTTAAACACTAAAAACTGAACTACACTGTTCCAATTTACTATGACCTTTTTTGTGAAGCTGCTTTGACACAATCTACATTGTAAAAGCGCTATACAAATAAAGGTGAATTGAACTCTAAATATATTGGACCTCTCAAGAAGAAATATTTTTAAATATTTAAATATCTTATAAAAAAAAAGACTTATTTGAAGAAAATAAAGACTTTCCGTTTCTTTAGACCAGGGGTCTCAAACTCGCGGCCCGCGGGCCATTTGCGGCCCTCAGTGCAATATTTTGTGGCCCGCGCCGACCGCAGTACACTGACAGAATCCGTCCACACTACGCCGGAGTTCTCGAGCGCTGAAAACGGATCGTTTCGAAAACGCTGGAGAGGCCGTTTTCATTCTGAAACGCTGCTGCTCCGTCTCAGTGTGGATGGGGAAAGACGGAGACATCTGAAAACGGAGGCGGGGCTGCAGACATTCGCCTCTCTGATTGGGGCTTTTCCTCAATATTAAGTAGCCTAACACACAGTTCAGTACTGAATCTTCTCCGTGTAAGTTCAGACTTCGCAGGTTTGATCAAGGCTGCATCTCTTCTTCTCAGTTTGATATGGAAAACATACCGAGGACACGCGTCAATCTTCACAGGGAACAGTGTACTTTATAACTTCATTCACATCACTCTGGCTACACTGTTTCACTTTCTCAACAATAAAATGTAAACTTGATATAAGGAACTGCCTATTTTTATTTTAATATTAACAACTAAACAGGCAGCAGAAATGTTGAGGCGTCGTGCTGCATATATGAGCGTCATCTTCACTGTGTGGATATTTATAACAAAACGGAGCCGATAACAACTGCCTCTTTTCAATTTCAGTGAAAATACGAAACATACCCGCTCTTTTGCTGAATATCAATTTTAATAATCTATAATGGCCATTATAAAAGTATAACATACAATAAGTTTATACATTATAGGAAATAAAGGCAAGCGATCAGTCAATATACAGAATAGGCTACGTTGTTACATTAATCATTAACTTATCTTTGTGCTCAGCCAAAGCACGTTACCTGAGAACAAGTAATAGATTCCAATGACCAAAGTCAGGGAATGTGTCGTTAGATAAAGACAACAAGATGAACGAAATATCACGTTTAATAAATATAGTGAGAATAGATCCAGCGGGAGATACTTGATAAGAAGTCCGACTAGCAGAGCTCTCATCTGGGTAGACAGACTGCAGCGCTTGCCAAAGTGTGTTTGTGTGGTCACGTGATGTGCGTTTTCAGCGTTTTGGTGTGGACGGAGAGCAGTTCAGAAACGCTGGGTAAAACGCGAGTGTGGACGCGGATCGTTTTCATTCTAAAACGCCGTTTTAAAACTAAAACGCACTAGTGTAAACGGGGCCTGACAGAATCAGCGGAGCGGGGAGAGAGAGCGCTCCCCGCTCCGCTGATTTTATCCGTACACAGCGGTCACTGGCATTCCCCGCCCGCCGTGTAAACAAAGGGGCGGGGATGCCGGTTACGTCACCACGCACCCCGCCCCTTTGTTAGACGCTGTGACGGGCGGGAAGTGTTAGGAGGGAACTCGCCCCGGCCAGAACCAAGGTAAGCTGTTCCCGCCCCTGCCTGCCACTTAGCTACCTATCTGCAGCCTGCCACCTACCTAGCTACAGCCTGCATCTTATATATATTATAGGTAGATACAGACTGGTACAGACTGATGTGACTGGAGTGGGGTGGGGGTGTTTTATTTATACATATATACGCCTTTTTTTAAGTGAGGGAATGGGAGTTTTGAGTGTGTGAGAAGTGTGTGAGAAGTTATTCTCCACCTTGAACTTCAATAAGTCAAAGTACAGGTCTAGACTTAATTATGATCATCTTCAAGCCATACTGAGGGTCTCAACTGCTTCCGCTCTAAAGCCAAATGTGGTTCAGATTTGTGAGAAGAAGTGCTGTCAAGTCTCTGGCAGCAAGAAGTAGGCAAAAGATGCCATGTTCAGAAGAACTGTTCATAATCTTCACTCAATGTTCTATTAATGTTCAGGACACTTCATGTTCAGAAGAAATAATTAAAACTGTTAATAATGACATTTGAGGACTTTTTTTTTTGTGAAATCCCTTATGCGGCCCAGCATCACCCAGACTTTGCCTACTGCGGTCCCCAGGTAAATTGAGTTTGAGACCCCTGCTTTAGAGCATGAGCAAGCATGCAGTATGTCAATTAACGTAAGCAGATGAGCTAATCAATAAACCAGTGGCATTTAAACCTACTTACCCCTTCGATGCTGACGTCGAAGAACGTCAGGCTGCCTCTGGCTTTTATCGCTTCAGACAGCAGAAATGTTCGCTTTGAATGTGTACAATTTCCACAGCATGAGTTTCATACAACGGTTCAAACCTGCTCGACCATGATGTCACAACAGCAAGCAGGAAGACTTTCTACGGACACAACCGAGGGACAATTACGACTCAGAAGCTATCATTTTGAAATTCAAAAAATTGATATGTGGACCTCATATTCGTTCAAATAATTTAGGTAAAGTACATTAATAACACGTGACAGTGTCTGTTCATCCATTGCCCAAACATGAAACATGTGTACAGTAGGTTCGTAGTCATTCACTCATTCATTCTCCTTCTCTTGGCTTAGTCCCTTTATTCATCAGGGTCGCTACAGCGGAATGAACCGCCAACTTATCCAGCATATGTTTTGCAAAGCGGATGCCCTTAAAGCTGCAACTAAGTACTGGGAAACACCTACACACTAACATTTACACACACTATTGACAATTTAGTTTATTCAGTTCACCTATAGCGCATGTCTTTGGACTGTGGAGGAAATTTTAACTGCACAAAAATATACATGCCAGAGGGTAAGTATAAATCAAATACAAATACAGAATATTTATATGTAATAATTAAATACATTGTAGAATTCATAAAGTTTTAAAGTGTATAGGGCTTTCTTATTTAGAGAGTCTCTGACACTGCTAATATATAAGCATAATTCAGCCATCAACACCTTAAAATTTGATTAGTAAATTTACATTTATGAATGTGAAATTTTGTTAGCAAAATAAGTAAATTAATTAAAAACTATTTTCCTTGAATAGGGTGACGCCTCAAATTAGTAGTAATTTCACATTACACTGAACAAAAACGCTTCAGTCCAGTTGTCACAGTTGAAGTTTAGTTTATTTTGCTAGAACTATGTAAAGCTGTTTAACACAATCTACATTGTAAAAAGCGCTCTAAAAGTCTAAATGAATTAAATAAGTTGTGAAGTATACAGGCATCACTGCCATTTTGTAAAACCTGAAACAATATAACGCCATTGTTTGGCAACTTCAACTGCTAGGTGAAGACAGGACAGTTCAACAATTTAACTATAGGAGTGCATTAAGTTAATATTGAAGGAAATGAAAACACTATATATATGTGAAAATAATTCATTTTTATTCATTACATACAGAACAAGCATTTATTTACAATCTCCAAAAATAAACAAAAAATCTTCTCTTCATCCAGATACAAACGCCGGCCCCCTTCAGCTCCTCCTCTTTATCAACCACAAACACCGGCCCCAAACAGCTCCTCCTTTCCACGCAACCACAAACACCAGCCCCATTCAGCTTTTTCTCTTCGTAAAGCCACAAACTGCCCCATGTTTGTGGCTTGACGGAGTTTCTGGCTGAATATAAAAGAGGAGCTTAGTGTTAGTGGCTGGATGAAGAGGAGGAGTTCGGTGTTAGTGGATCGATGAAGAGGAGAAGTTTGGTGTTGACGGCTGAATGAAGAGGCTGGATGTTCTGATCTTAATCTTTTCGTCTGTTGTTTGGCTTCAGGATGAAGACCTGGAACCATCTCTGGTGAAGGATCTCGTCAAGTAGAGGCCGCTTGTCTGGCTTAGTCTGCAGACACGAGCAGATCAGATCTACGGCTTCTGTGAAGAAAGAAGGGGGAGATGTCAGGTTATTAGAAAACTTTACGGTTGGTGTAAATGATCACATGTTTTAAGATCCTGTTTCATCATCCACATGCTCTCACCTTTGGATAGGTCTTCAGGCTGCCAGGTTCTTTTGACAATCTTGTGGAGCTCCATATGAGGGTAGTGTCCACACAGCATCCTGAACAACAGTTTCCCTAAAGAGTACACGATTGCAGGCTTGGCGTGGAACCTTCCCTTCTGATAGAACTCCGGGGGAATACAAGCTATTGAGCCTGGAAGAAAGAGAAAGATTTAGTCCCAATGCAGTTAGCTTTTTCGCTAAATATCCATATCAACAAAATAACTTCTCATAAATTGTGGCCATTATCATACATACCCCAAAATTTTGTATAGCCAGAGTCCTTAATGAGGCTTCCCGTGCCAAAGTCCATCAGTTTGACCTGCAAGGTGTGGGGGTTGATGAGCAGGCTCTCCAGCTTGATGTTATTGTAGACTCCCCTTTCGCAGCATGCGTTGGCAGCAGTGATCACCTGGTGCATCACCACTCGTGCTTTCGCTTCGCTGATTTTGTTCCCACAAGAGGATACAAACTGGTCCAGGCTCACAGCTGATTTGGGATGCTCCAGCACCAGTATGTATCGGTCTGGTGCCTCATACCAGTCCAGCAGCTGTATAACTTGAGGAACCTTCGGACCTCTGCTCATCATAATCATCAAACCGACCTCTCGTGGAACAGTCTTGTCAGATGGTTCCTGCAGGAGAGATAATAGACGTATTAGTGAGATGTGATTGAACTGAAGTGTAGACTATTTTTAACAATGTTGCGAGTGTGTACTTACAATGGTGATCCTTTCCATTGATTTGCTCTTCTTCACGCATTTAATATCCACCTGTTGACCAAGAGAAAGCAAAAGTTAATACACACGATCCAGCCATGCGGCATTCGTCAAATTTACATTTCAAGGGAAAAGCCCAAAATCTTTTTGTTATGTCTGAAACAAACCATTCGGCAATCCGACAGACGAATTCCATCATAGATGACTCCTGTTGATCCCTGACCAATCAAGTGATGGATTTTATAGTCCTGGGAGATTCTACCTGTAAATAAAACAAAGAAACAAACAATGAAGTACATCTATAGCATAAACCATCAAAAATCTGAGCGAAGATTGCTTTAGAATAGCTCTATTTTAACAAACTATTATTATTGAAGGTGCCTTATAATGGACTGGTTCAATCAGATCAGTTGTTCTCTGATATCTATATTATAGGTATATTATGGCATAGGTATGTTTTAAAATCTGCTCATTTATTATTACGTCCTGACACGAATATGGATATTGCATGCTAAATTTGATATATCATGCAGCCCCAATCTTAGCCATGTTATGATAGACAGACACTCAAACGTTTGAGCTTGGCATGCACGGGTCAGGTTCAGTAGTTTAAATAATCTCAAACACTTAACATCAGTCCTTGCTGATATATAAACCTGGTCAGATTCACAAAAAAATCTTGATCAGCTAAACAATGATTACGATTCAAAATGCTTTTAGTGCAATTCTCAAAAACACTTTAGAAATATTTTCTTTAAGGAACATTTTTTTTTCTCATGAATACAGTTAAGTTATAGTATAGAGCTATTCATAATAACATATTCTGTAATATATTTTCTTTAAGGAACATTTTTTTTCATGAATACAGTTAAGTTACAGTATAGAGCTATTCGTAATAACATTCTGTAATATGATATTTTTATAATATGTTCACTCACAACTTAAGTAACTATCATTATCATATGCAGTGGAGTAAAAAGCTCAATATTTTGTTTGGGATTGTTATATAACTTCCAGTGAAGTACTTCAGGATAAAAACACCTGATAAACTGACCTGTATTTCCTTCCCAGTTAAATGTGGTTTCCTGTTCTGTTTTCCAAAAATCCGATGAGGAAGATGTGCTGTCCTCGGACACGCTGGAGTCCTCACTGGAAGCGTTTTCCTCATCGTTGTGGTGTTCAGCGGTCAGCGAAGACTCACAAGGGTGCCTACTGTGCACTGAAGCGCGGTCAGATTCGCTGATCCCCGCGGTACCAAGCGAAGACGCACAAGAGTGCCAACTTAACACTGATGCGCGGTCAGATTCACTGATAACCGGGGTGCCAAGCGAAGACGCACACGAGTGCCAGCTGTGCACTGAAGCGCGGTCGGATTCGCTGTTTCCCGCAGTGCTAAGAGAAGATACAGAAAAGTCCCAGCATTCAGTGTCGTCGTGCCGTTCAGTTTCTGTTGACGGGGTCTTCACAGGGGTCTGGATAGACACGCGCCTGTTAACCCGCTCGTCATGAACTGTCCTCGGCGACACACACGCAGCTTCACCGTCAGGGGATCTCTGAGGCTGTGGGCTGCTCAGCTGGCCCTGTGGGGCTCTGGTTCTAGTTCTCTTGAATTTCCGAGAAAACCATTTCCAGAGCCTCTTAAGTTTCTTCTCTCTTGTCTGTGGTGCTGGGCTTGGTGAAACACCAGCTCCAGTGTGAATGTGGGAGATGAACGTAGCGTTGCTCGGTCCGGCTTCGACATCAGAACATCTCCGGTGCTCGAGGTCGCCCTCGGATGTGCACTGGTTCTGCTGGGCTTTCCCGGATTTCCGAGAGGCCCAGTTACAGAACTGTTTAACTCTCTTTCTAACTCGTCCCATTGTTCTATGTTTCTTTCCAAACTCGAGAGAATTGTTATCAACGGCGAACTGAATATTTGTTATATCTCGATCAACTGAAAACTCCATAAATCAGACGTAAAACGCAGATCTATAGTGATTCGGTACAGCTCGCTCGAGATGTTGCAAGAAAATGAGCCGGTATGCCGTCTACATCATTATAAGAACTACGATGGAATGTTTGACGTCATGGCTCATTTGCATACAGCAGCGCAAGGCAGCGCCATTCAAAAGAAAATAGATGTTGTTGTTTTTTTTTACAGAAAATGTAAATCTTAGCTGTGTTTTAACACATTTCTTTATTAGAAAGTTTCTTATTACATTTTACAATATGTCGTTCGCCAATTTTCGAGCTGGAATCACTCACAATCATTAATTATTTATTGATAATTGCAATTATGTTGGGAGCGGGTGTGGTGTTTAATGCTTGATTTCCCTGAAGGATGTCAATACAAGATGTGTGTTTAGTGGGGCGAGAGTCTTCCCTTTATATAGTGTTAAAATCCTTTGATCTGATCTGTATTAAACAATATAACTACTACTTATAAAATATGTTCACGTTAATTTGACCCGCCCCCCTCCTTTCTCCCTCGCCCATTCAATCCTAGATGCATCATGGCGCCCAGCGGTGATAAACGTTGTTAGTGCTCTAAAGACACATTTTTCTTTTGAAATTGGTGTTTGTGACTACATATAGCCGATTTCCCACAATGGAAGTCTATAGTCACTGGATTTTAAAACATTTTCTTTTGTGTTTAACAAAACAAAGAAACAAGAGAGAAAGAAAATTAAACCACTTGAAGAGGAGTCACTATGTTGGTCGACTATTCCTTTAAATACGTGTATGGACATAAATTTAAAGATTCAAATGGTAAAACAGCACCATCTATCGGCACATATTCCGTCGTAAATTAATAGCAGATATTTTTAAGATATTTTGATAAGCACAACAAACATTGTAATAAATCCTGGTGCATCCTTATAGACATTTATTTGTCTTTTTCATTAAATTCTTTGTGATTATTGAGGCTGTATTAAAGCTAAAAGCATAACATAACACAAAAAAGCATTCATATTTAAAGTTTATTATCTGATTCCATTTCATATATTTATTTTCAACAGGTGCAAAAATAGTTGGATTCATGAACTTGAAGGCAAAAATGTCCCCACTGAAACCCATTAAAACCCGTATTTCCTCTTTAGCACCATTAAAGAGCAAAATAAAAAAAATGAATGTTACTTTTATTTTTTTGACACTGACATTGTGTAATTTGTTTTTTAACTGAAGCACAAAGGTTAAATAATAAAACACAGCATAACTCATCTAGGGTGACAGATTTTTAATGGTTTAGCCATTAATAATTGATGATCATAATTTTTTACATAATACTGAAGTGGAAACAAAAAAAGAAAGAAGTAAACAAATACACAATTAGGAAATAGTCTGAGTGATTTAAAAACTGCTGATCTACATGGATTTTCATACACAACCATCTATTTCTGTGGTAAATTATTAATAAAAAAAATAAACATCTAAAAATGTTCAAAAAAAACTTTTTTATATGTCTGTATACACTCATTTGGTCACTTTAAAAAACAAATTGTGCATTTCTCTGCATTGCATCAAGCAACCCTGAATAAAATGATCGTAGACTGAAAACACATATCCATTCTACTAGCTAAGTGGCCTAAAACTTTTAATGCACACAACAAGAGAAAGCTTTCAGCCTGCTTCCATAAAACATACTAAACCATACCATACTAAACAAAAAAATGCATCATGGCTTTAATAGTGCATTATTCAGTCAAAGCACTTCAATCACAGTCATTATAGAGCTGCACAATAATGTTCACATCCTGATTTAAAAACAGAAATGCTTCAATAGAACAAGAAAACATTAATCAAGGTATAAAAGTCAAAAGCTTAATTAACACTGCACATTCAAATATATAAATATGATCTGTAAAATCATAAGTGTGAGCTAGAATGAGCCGCTTGTTGGTCAGAAACTGTAAATCTGTTCTTCCTCCATTCGCAGATCTCCTCATACAGGCATGATCTGCATTTCCAGGCCTCCTCTATATCCACCCCTTTAGGTTCTCTCTGTCCCGTCCAGTAGGACAAATAACCCTGAAGCTCTCCCCGTATTTGGGCTTCATCAAAAGGAGCCACTCTTGTCCCAATGGGCCCATTAGAGCCTTGATGAAAGTATTCAATCTGAAGCAGGTCAATACATGGAAGATCAGAGCATGACACTGTTATAAGCAAAGTTTCAACCAGCTCCTCAAATGTTCTGGCATGAACCCCAAGGTTTTTAGCATGAGCCTGGACGCCTGCACCGAGAATTTGAGCAGAACGCAGTTTGAGGTGATCGAAAATGTGATTTTTTTTCATCTCCCCTCTGACCAGTCCATCAAAGAGCAATTTATACAGGCCCACCTGAGTAATAGATGCATGTTTTAGAACAGATGTAAAAATGCAATATAAAGCAGATCATGACAGAAATGTCACGTAGAAATGTGCTTTTATATGTTGGGGTCATAAGAATTTGAAACACTTATGCCATTTATAAGATTTTTTTTTCCATCAGATATAAATGTTTTTATCTCTTAAAATGTAACTTAAAACTGAAAAAGTTTACTTTGAGGGTCTTCAAGCATTAGCAGTTTTGTTCCCTGACTAAATACAAAGTATTTTGTGATGTATGTGATATAGTTTTTCTATTAACAGAAAATCATGTAAAGGGATGCGTTGCTTTAGTTTACTTTCCTTAATTAGGGAATTTAATTTGGAGAATTTGCTGTAAAAATATTTTGGATTGTATCTCTTTGCAATAAAAGAGGTCCTATAGGGTAGCTTTACTTGGGTATAGGAAAATTAAGAAATGCTTAAAACTATTTAGGAGCAACAACACATTATTATTAAGACCTTGTGAACATCCGAATTTTTTTTTATTTATTATCATCAAATTTACATGGTTCTATCTCTTTAAATGTAACTTAAAAACTGATAAGTTTACTTTAAAGTTCTTCAAGCATGTGCAGTTTTGTTCCCTGACTAACTACAAAGTATTTTGTGATATAAATTCTTTTAAACTCTTGTATATATATATATATATATATATATATATTCATAATTTGTATTGCTAGTTCTTATTTTAAGTTATTTTCACTCCTCCTATTCCCTTAAAGTGAAATTAAATAAAATATATAATTTTCCCCCCAATTAAAATAAAACTGGAATTCAACAAAATAAAACACAAAAAAGTATGAAATATATAAATTAGAAATGTTACCACAGCAGCTACTGTAGCTGAAATAACATAAATAATAATAGTAATAATAACAATAAGAATAATAATGACAACTGTTATTAATAATCATAATAATATTTAATATAATAAGTATACTACAGTTAACAATTCATATCTTGAAATAATAACAATGTTTAATTCATGCTTGGTTTGATAAATAAAAACAAAGCATAATTCTAGGGTTTCTGCAGGTTCCTTCAATTTAGAGCTGGGCGATAATTCAATATCGATAATTATCAGGATATAAAATTTTTCGATAAAACGATAATGACAGTTCGATAATTACTTGATAATATTTACGCACTATGCGTAACGTTGCGCAAGCATTTTGCAGCCTGCCCTTCCGGATGCCGCACGCTTTACAAGTTTACAGCCGTACAGTGTTAGTTGCACTGAAAGAAGTAACAAAGAAATAAGGTAAAAAAAGGTCAGAATCACAGACATTGTTGACAAGAAACGTCACTAGACCTCAGTCATGAGCTACTTAGTTTTTTGCTATCCGACACAAAACAGAGTAACGTGCACCGCAAACTGCGCAGACGTCTCGTGTCATCAGAAGCAGCCAACACCACAAACCTGTTTCACCATTTAAAACAAACCACCCTTATGAAGATGCTAAGAAAGTACAGACCTAAACAAGTGTTAGTAAACCAGCGCAGCTACCCAGCAGAGTCTCATGTCATCATTTTCGAAAGCCGTGCCTTACAAGAAAAAAACCCTGAAAAGAGAGACGAAAGACATGACAGAGGACACAATCCCAAACACATCTCAATGAACACTTAATGCTTGCTGTAAACGGATCTTTTGATGTCAAGCTTATGTTTCCTTTTAATATTAAAATATTTCTTTTGAAATCTGTATACCACTATTGTCTCTCATCGACGGTAAAATAACCAGCCTTTATATAACCTATTTAAAGGACATAATCACAGAGGAGAAATCAGTTGCTCAAGACATAGGGCCCTATACACCAGGTGCAATGTGGCGCAAGGCGCAGCGCAATACTTGTTTGGTAGTTTAAGCTTGGCACAAGAGTCGTTTTGAGGCGTTGCGCTACGCTGTTTAAATAGCAAATGCATTAGCGCTCATATGTGCATCCATAGGCGTTTCTAAAAAAGGGTCTAAAAAGGAAGGCGTTCTGAGGTGCATTGCTGGCGCGTTGCTATTTTGAGAAACTAAAATAGATTTTTCATTAGACCAAAACAAACCCGGACTAAACTCCGGCGCAGAGTTGCGCCTCGCTTACACACTGCTTAATACGCACAAGAGAGCAATAGGCAAATAACTTTACATATGAAAAAAAATTTATATTAAGAATATATATATCATATAATAAGAATAGATATAGGATATAAATATAAAGTATTAAAATATTACAAAACATACTATTTTCTAGAGTACTTAAATATGAAAAATCACTGCTTTTATGTCTTCTTCATCTCGAGAGGCTTTTTTAGTTCATTCATAACAATTTGCTTTTGTATAATGTTATTATTATTAGCAGTATTATTTATTATATCCATATTTATATTTGTATATTTTATATATAGACCTTAAGGGGCACAGCATGTGTTTTAGGATATAACTCAGGTTTTCGAACACACTTCGTTAATATTGTTCATTTATTCGTTTGCTGGAAATTAGAACTAAATTTAGAAATAGTTTTGAAATGAATATTTGCGCTTAACAAACGCAATTAATTATTTATAGACTAATTGATGTCTGTGTGAGGCCCCTAAGGTTTCCCTATCCAAGAGCGAAAGTGATCTATTATCTCTCATTCTCACGCAGTAGATGCTCTGTTTAACAGTTTTCTGTTAAAAAAACTGTCAACTGTTAACTGTTTGCTAGTGAAATGCTCATTTTTTCCACTTAGACTTACTTTGCGTCCTGTAAATAGCGAATGCGCTTATGGCACAACGCAGCTGGGTCTTAAAGGTAATGGGAGATGAGACTCTAATTGGTTTATTCTCAAAACACACCTATAACTCATTAAGAAAATAAACTCAACCCTTTTAGACCATGCGCCTTGGCGCAAAGCGCATTTTTCCGTCCGTAAATTAGCAAAAATGCATTCTGACACGCCCTGAAAGCGTTTGCGCTTTGGTTTTTTTTCTGATGTTGAACAATAATATCCAATGACTTGTAGGTAATGTATTTGGTTGTTGAAAACTTTAACAAGTAAATTCTGAATTAAGCTCGTTCTTTAGTTTATTATTTTATTATTTATATTGTCAGACAGCTAAAACATTTCATTAAATGTGTTAAATCAGCTGCACAAAGCCATTGGCATGCTGAAAATCTTATATAATTATAAACATTTTAAAATAGATATAAAGATTTTACATTTATCATGATAAATATCGATATTGACTGATGTGAAAAAAATTATCGTGATAATTTTTTTTGTCATATCGCCCAGCTCTACTTCAAGTAAAAGTTAAGACTTTTTAAGACCTTTATGTATATATGTATATGTATATATTTTAGACTCATTCAGGGCTAAACACGAAGGCTTTTTTTCTAATAGCCCAGTTACTTCTGTAAATAGTTTTCATATTAACAGAAGATCATGTAAAGGGATTTGTTGCTTTAGTTAACTTTCCCTTATTTAATTTTTAAAAATTAAAAAGAATTTAATTTGGAGAATTTATTGTAAAAATGTCTAACAGCTGCTTTGGGTTGTATCTTTTTCCCAATAAAAAATGTTTAAAGTTAAAACACAAAACTTAAAATATATACAAAAAAGTTTTGAGATGGATTATAGGTGATTGGGTGTAGGCCCCATAAAACAGCTTTACTTGGATATTTCTTGGACTAGGAAAATTAAGACCTAAACCACAACATTTCAGAGAATGTAAGACTTTCCAAGGCCTAAAATTTTGTTTTGAAATTTAAGATGCTGCAGACACCCTGTTTAACGTTTATATTGCAAAAAAGCCTGCATAAAATTGTGAATTGTATTTGTGAATTAAATCATTTGTGCCTTTACAAAATCAACTTACTGACCCACACTTTGTTCAAATGTATGAGGAAACCAGGGTGCGAATTACAGGGGGGTTTGGGAAGGATTGACCCCTAAATTAATGCTTGATCACCCCTGAAGGAGGTCAAAACATCTGTATTTTAAATAATGTTGTTAATAATTAAAATAATAGACAATATATTTGACCACCCCCCATAACGGTTCAGTCCATTCTTAATGCATAATCCCGCCAAGAAAAAAGTCTGAAAGCGGCAGATCTACATCACCAATACACATCATGTTCACAAGACTTTGTTTTCTCGTAAAATATGTGATTGTATCTATATTTATCCTGAAAACAAAATCAGACCCACTTTGTAGTTTAACCTACAGTAACATCCTAAATAGCTAATCAGAGAATATTGTATGTCAGAATACACTAAATATCCCTTAAAATGCTGAAAACTTAAATAAGTTTTATTAATAAACTAGATGTATAAAAACAAAGACATAAATGACTGAAACATGCATTACACAAACTAACCAAGACAGCTGACCCCCCCTGATCGTCAATGTATAACTTGCACACTGGTTGAAACCCAATAATGCAATTCAGCAAGAACAGAGTTCACAAGAGCAGAGTGCAATGATTTACCAGTGAATCACTGTGGACAAAGGTCAAAGCTGCAATCAATTCCTCCTGCTCACCTGAAAGCAGTTGACTTTATCTTGTGCAGAACTGGGCAAGGAGTTCTGTCTGCGTGTCTTGAGCTCATTCAGCACCAGCTCCCCCTTCTGGTTATACATGAGTTCATCAATGACCCCCATGATGAAAACACCTTCCTGCACACCAAACACGGGGAACTCTCGCACACGCTGTCCTGAAACAATAATGCCACATTTATAACTTATTCAAGAAACAAAACAAAACCACTTCCACACCGTCAACTCACCTGCTTCTAACAGCGGGATCATGTGTAGCATGTTGAGAAGTTTGACGGCTTCTCCATCCTCTCTAGTGCGGATATCTACTGGGACAACATCCTGTATTTCCAATTCTGAAGATGAAAAGTAGGATTTGGATTACTGTGAACTTCTGTCGTACTGCATGTTGTACAATATAAAATAAATGACTAAAAATTGATAGGGGATAGATTTTCCCGTGTTTGCGTAAGATTCCTACAGATGCTCTGGTTTCCTTCACAGTCCAAAGACATGCGCTATAGGTGAATTGAATAAACTAAATTGGCCGTAGTGTATGTGTGTGAATGAGTGTGTATGGATGTTTTTCAGTACTGAGTTGCAGCTGGAAGGGTATCCGCTGTGTAAAACATATGCTGGAATAGTTGCCGGTTCAATACGCTGTAGCAACCCCTAATAAATAACGGACTAAGCGCAAGGAAAATGACTGAATGAGTGAATTACATGGGTAATGTTGTAAAGTAGCACCAATAATAGTTTAACACATCATAAGTGTTTTAATGTTTTTTTATCTGCATTTAAAACTGATTAGTGTCTTGAAGGATTAAAGAACTGTCTAAATTGTTAATTAAAAGACTCAAAATTAATTCAAATAATAGCAGATTTGTCTCATTTTAAAGAACAGAAATAACTGAAAATAAAGTCAAATCTGAAGTGAAATCCAAATCTTACAAATGTTTGTTGCTATTAATCTGTGCAAGTTTATCCACTGACAAAAAAAGTTTGATCTTCAATCAAGGTCTGACTGTTTGCTTCTGTGTTTGGAGTTTACTTTTGCTATTGTTGAATAATTATTATTGATGTCAAAACATTTTAGAATTTTGGTCAATTTGTTCCCTCTATATAAAGTAGTGATCACACATGACTGCTAGTAATATAGTTAGTTTGGGTATGACTTCACATGTGGAAATGTTTAAACTATTTGAGTTACAACTAACCCTGCATTAGTTTGTGCCCTGCTCACCCTTACTGTTCATTATAATAATAAACAGCCTCACCCCTTGATAAATGAATTTCTTGTCCGATTTGCACCTCAGTGCGTTGCATTTCTTTTCTCTTGATATGGGGCTTCAAAAGATTGTAAACGCTCTTCATCTCACACCAAGTCTGGTCACACAGGAGGGTCACACTCAGATGCTGCTTCCGGAAGCGTTGCATTGGGCTGAAGCTGTTTTCGTGGAGGCTCTTTCTCTTTAAACCCCTCACATCATCAGTTTTCACTGCTTCTTGCTTCGGTGCTTCTTCACTGCACCTGGAAAGTAGAGCATTGTGTTATGTGACAAAAGCGAAACATAAATAAATAAAAATGCACTTTTAAATGTTGATGATATCTTGTTTATCCTGCAGAGATGAAAATGAGGTTTTTAGGCAATAATATAATTAAATTATAATAGAGACTATGATACATTTCATTACCAAAATTTACAGAAGACACCCACTTACATTTCATTAATGATAACCAGGGTTTCTGCAGGCTTCATCAAGTCAAATTAAAGACTTTTAAGACCATTATGAAGGAAATTTTAAACTTATACAGGGCTAGACACTAATGATTATATCTAATGGCCCAGTTGGAGCAAAAAAAAAATCTAATGTAATTAAATTTCTTAGCGACATAATTTAACGTGTCAAAAAAAAATAGTTGTATACACTATTTTCAACATAATTTACTTTTTTCTAAATGACAAGTTTAACATTGTTAAATGTATATTTATTGTGGAGGCAATTACATAAATAATCAAAAATATATAAAATTGTTGGCTTTTGATCAAATTAAGAATAACTTCTATTTAACCTTATGCATTTCTGTTATAAAATCTTGTTTAATGCATATTTATAAATATGATGCATAGTCTACTCACACTTCTGTAAATACCTTTTGTATGCATGGAAGATATAGCGATATGTTGCTCTGGTATTATCATGATAAATAGTGTAATTGTTTTTAGTTTTCTTTCCCTGATTTTAATAAGATGTATTGTTAGTGATTGGATGAATGTCGGCCTGATTGGGTAGCTTTACTTGGACAGAAGAAAATTAAGACCCGTTTAAAATTATTTAAGACATACAACAAAATATTTCAGAGAATTTACCACTTTTTAAGGCCTAAAATTTAGTTTTTAAAATTTAATATGTTTTATGACTGGGCAACGCGGTGGTGCAGTAGGTAGTTCTGTCGCCTCACAGCAAGAAGGTCGCTGGTTCGAGCCTCAGACGGGTCAGTTGGTATTTCTGTGTGGAGTTTTTATGTTCTCCCCGTGTTGGCGTGGGTTTCCTCCGGGTGCTCCGGTTTCCCCCACAGTCCAAAGACATAAAGTACAGGTGAATTGGGTAAGCTAAAATTGTCCGAAGTGAATGAGTGCGAATGAGAGTGTATGGGTGTTTCCCAGTGATGGGTTGCAGCTGGAAAAGCATCCACTGTGTAAAACATAGGCTGGATGAGTTGGAAGTTCATTCCGCTTTGGCAACCCCAGATTAATAAAGGGACTAAGTTAATCCGAAAAAAAAATGAATAAAAGGATGATGAATGAACATTTTAAGACCCCACAGACACCCTGGATAGCACTACATTATACAGTATGCCAAAATATATTGCCGGGCATTTTAAAATGGGTATCATTAGATGACATTATTTTTATTTCAGTTTTAGAACTTTTTGTACTTTATTTTTTGACGAAAAAAAATTCCACTTTGTCACTTTCCTTTAAACTACAAAGTTTACCCATTTTGTTTTATTTAAAGTATTATACAATTTTGAATTATTGCTTATTATTGAATAAATTTACTAAGTACAAGCCGAAATAAGTGTTCTATTTATGACATATTAGTTGCACTGATTATTTCATATATATTTTTCACATTTTATTTTCACAAAGGTTGTTTGAATTTAAGCAAACATTTCACGTTTGTATTAATTTAACATTCTCACATATAAAATCACCATCTACAAAAAATGTTCCTCTCAGCAGCACCACCACATGAAAAACTTACTTGTGAAATGATGAAGATGAACTGGGTTTGTCCAAGTTCACTGAATGTTTACCTTTAGTTTCTCCGATAAGAGGAAGCTGGGACTCTTAAAAGAGATAACATGTAAACAAAACAACACACATGTGTTTAAATGCAAACATGGAAGAAAAAAGATGAGACACGAACACTTATATAACTCAACAATACCCGCTTGTGTCCAGAAAATAAAGTCACATGACCACATTCACAACAAACTACCACAATTGCACAATGTTTTACCTATACTTTCTTCGTCGGAAGGGATGTTAAGAAACTCAGAGTCGCTAATGTCGTCCCAGGCATCCAGCGGTTGTTGTGATCTAGACGCATCCATCATAAAAGCAAACTCAAACTGTTCTCTCAGCCCATTGTGCACTTTACACCAATGCTGCAGGAACTTAAACACGATGCTAGTTTGTATTTTAATTTGTTTTTATTTTAAGTTTGAATTGTTTACATGAGACATGCCCGAACAACTTCCGTCAATGCCCCGCCTCTGTCAACAACATCTTTCTTCGCTTGCTGCTAATGTTTGTATTTCATTTGCTGATAATCTAAGTCCCGCCCACCTCTCTAAAAATATATCCGATTGGCTCATCCGTTTGCATCGTGCACGGTAAGACAGTCTGTGTATGGATAAGCATTCTGAAAGCAGTTATTACCCATGCATAAATTTGAATAAAAAATAAACCATATTATAACTTAATATGAGTACATTTCAACTTGTAAAAAGGTCGACGAAGAAAGGGGCAGTCTATCAGAAAACAATACAGCCTTAAATTTTAATTTCATAGAATCATTTACACTGAAACAAAATTTATTTCAAAGTTTATTTTAAACAATCTTGTCGAGTATATTCAGGAAAAAAAAAAAAAAAAAAATATATATATATATATATATATATATATATATATATATATATATATATATATATATATATATGTATGTATGTATGTATGTATATATATATATATATATATATATATATATATATATATATATATATATATATATATATATATATATATATGTATGTATGTATGTATGTATGTATGTATGTATGTATGTATGTATATATATATATATATATATATATATGTATGTATGTATGCATGTATGTATGTATATATATATATATATATATATATATATATATATATATATATATATATATATATATATATATAAACGAAACTACTTATAATTATACTTAAAAAAGAGATCAAGTATGCTGTTTTACTAACATATTTCGCTAAACGACGAAGCATTTAAACATTAAACATTTTATTTTTCACAAAAACTAATTACGTGGTCGCTTACTTGCATTTAAATCGCATTGCATGTTTAGAATACCAACAGCGGGACACAAAGAATGACGTTTCGTTTAGTTAGGTTTGTTGTGACTTGTTTCCAAAACTTAAATGAAAACATCAATCTAACTCTTCAACGAGGTCAAACAAAGTTATATGGATCAGCTAAACTCCAAAGATAGAGGCGGGTATCTTTATAAAAGCCAAATTTTACATTAACAAATGATCTATAATGAAAGATAATGTCCATTCTCAGGTATGACACTTCAGTGTAAAACAGCAGATGAACACCTGAGCATCTCTGTGCAGTCCAAGGAAAGAATGAGAACAAGAAGAAGGATGAAGAAAAGGCCAAAGACATCCATGATGAGTGAGTCTCAGGAGAGCCTGAGGTGGGCAGCGGAGCTGTCAGACCCTGTGGAAGAGGAAAAGAGGATCGAGCTTTATAAAACCAACAGAAGGAAGCGCTATCAGGCCGCTCAAGAAGGTCTTTTGAAAAATTTGGTGTCTGGCGACAACCAGTAAAGTCTTCTTCTATTAATGATAAAAACGCTCCTATAATACTGACTCACTCCTCTAGAGGGCACTCGAGAACAGAAAATGAAAAGATCACATTCACAAGTTGTAGTTTGGTTTTGTTTAGTAGCATGATGCTAAAACCACAACAAAAATCCAAAGTAACTGACTAAGGTTACTAGATTACGTAATTACGTACATTTTTGTATTCCTAAAATCTTTTTACGTACTTTTTATGGATATTATTTACACTGTGCCAGTAAATTAGCCTATTAAAAATATTCTTCCCAAGTCTCTTTTATCATTTAAAAACAATACAAAATATCGTACAGCTACATACAGTTTAATTGAATATTTACAAGTAATGACCATGCTATGTCTTCCATGCTTCTACTTATGGATGGAAAAGGCCAAATTGACAAAATAAAATAAATAACAAATTATGCAGGGACTTTCAACCTTTGACTTAAAACAAATGAGTTAGACTAGAAGTAATCTTAAAGTAATCCAAATGATAAAAATGTTACTTATAAATCAATTATCTAGATTACTAACTGCTATAAATGTATTTGATTCGGATACTCTTTGCCCCACCAACTTCAGCTCCATTATTACAAATATATCCAGTCAGCTCATTTAGACTGAAATAAAACTGACTAAAAAGTCATTTGTAATCAGTGACTACAAGTTTGCAAGTAATCCACCCATCACTAAGAAAAATGCACATATGTAACTTTTTAAAAAAATGAATTTATTATTTCATTTTAAGTCAATAACCACCTCATCATACACGATAAAAGAATCAGTTAAAAGAATTAAAACAGGCTTTAAAACCAGCACATTTGAGTCACTCACTCAGTCAATAACTGTGCACAGAATTAAAAAGAAATAAAAAAGATTATAAAATAAATAGATAAAACATTTTTAAACTGAAGAGCTGTTATTTACATTATAATTTACTTCAAAAACTGGTCCACAGATGCTTCAGTCTGCAGCATCAATTCATTTCTATGGTGATCCCACTTCTAATGTCTTCCTTCATAAGTGACAATACTGAAATTGACTTAAGACAAAAGAGAGCTGTGGAGTCAAGAAGAAGATGGATAACGGCACAAGTGTGATTACAGTAGTAAAATATGCAGAACAGGTTAGTTTCTGATGAAGTTAAAGCTTCGGCCTAAATATATGACATACCCCTTGTGCAAAAACACCCTAAAATACTCTGGTTCTTAAAAAAAAAAAAAAAAAAAAAAAAAAAAACATTCTCAAAGACCTAATGAACTTTTCCCTCAGTGAGATCTGAACCCGTTAAATACATGTGAACATGATATGTATAGAAGCTTCAACTTTGTAACTTAATCCTAAAAGCCACCTATTTTATGGCAGGGCAAATCAGTTTGTACATCCAGTATTTCTCTATCGCCAACTACGCTTTCTAGAGAACCATCAAATCTAAGCCTTTAAAACCATGACCGTTCACTATCAGATCTCTGAAACCTGAATCTCACTAAATCAACCACATTTCTACATACAATTAAAAACCATTGTTGCACACCATCACCGAGAGCTGATGGAGAAAACCATTCAAGTCTCTAAATACTGCTCTTAAAGGGATAGTTCACCCAAAAATGATCATTTACTCACACTCAGTTGGTTCTAAACCTTTATGAATGTCTTTATTCTGTTGAACACAAAACACAATATTTTGCACTAAGATTAACAGTATAGTAGCCACACTAACATTAAAAGAAGCTAAAAGCACGATGAATGTCAATGGCTGCTGCTTTCCAACATACTTCTAAATATCTGTCTTTATGATCAACTTTAGAAAGAAACTCTGGTTTAAAACATGAATAAATAATGAGGACTTACAATTTTGTGTGTGAACCATCCCTTTAAGCAGACACCGTTGCTTACTCTCCTCCAGTCTAAAACAAACTCACTAAAACTAACCCGTCTGTCAAGCCCTTTCCAACTGGCAACAATTTCAGTCAGAGTTTCCCTTTTTTCCCTCTTGGGACTCAGTGAATGCAGGCGGTGGTTTATAATTGGTACATATGGGTGTAATGTCAGGCACAGATGCCCCTGTGTGTGTGTGTTTCAAAAAGCAGCCCTGCAATCAGAAGCCTGCAGCTCTACCGCAGAGAAGAAGCGCTTGGTCAGCTTGTGCCCGTCATAATTGAGCTGGGTGGTGTAGAAGGTCCGGGTGTGTTTGGGATAGACTATGGTGGTGCTCTGATAGCGCTGCACCCGCTGACGGGGCCCAAACTCCAGCTGGGTCTTATAATGTCTCCACGTGCTCTGAGGAAGAGCCAGCACTGTCTGACTGCACATCTCCAGACCCAAACCCCTGGGCTGCAGGGTCACGTCCTGAATGAAGTGCCGATCTGAATCATAACGCACAGACGACGTGTATCTGTAACAACACATGTAACAAGTTAATGCTGCATCTGAACTGCACCTGCCTGGAGCAAATTGGCCAAATCCCAAAAATCGTCCGATGCAGTTACAAAGTAAAAAATAAATAAATAAACTCACCTTATTTCTTTTAGTGGTAGAGAGTCAAGTTCAATTCCTTCTCCATAGGACAATGCATGCAAGTGCCTATTATTAGGAACCTGTAATGAATAAATTAGCATGTGGTTTTGGTTTAATATTGACTTGAGTCAAGCAAAATATGTGACTAGAGTGATGAGTTTATATTTACAATAGATTTTAATGAACAAACATATTCAGTAAACAAACTATATTAATTAAAAATAAATAAAATAAATAATGCAAACAAACACCACAAAACAATAAACAAAAACAAAAAATAAATAAATAAAAAAACAAACAAACAAATAAACAAACAAAAATTAAGCAGATAAATAAACAAATAATAAACAAAAATAAATAAATAAACAAAAAATATAAATAAACAAATAAAAAATTCATAAACAAAAAATAAAATATATATATATACAATGATCAAAAAATTATAAATAAACATTCACACACACATGAATTAGGACTTTGTTATTATTTTGAATTATTACTTTGTTTGTTGTTATTATTGTTTTGGTTTAATTAAGTTTTATGCACTATTTAAACATGTATATAATCAGTGCATGAAACTGAACTAAAAGTATAGAAAATCCCAAATTATTTAACCTAAATAGTCATATAAAATGATTATATAAAAATAAAATAAATAATAATAAAATATTATAAAAATAACTAAAATTAATGCATGCACAAAATCAATTTAAAATATATACAATTACAAAAGTAGCCTAGGTTTAATAAAAGTGAGTATCTGATAATCAAACTTATTTAAAAACAGCTAATATAAACTGAATATAAGGCTAATTTTCTCTATTTATTAAATATTATATTATTGCTTTCTATATATATATATATATATATATATAT